ACGTATGTTCGCCATTTCATCTTCTGAAATTTTCAATGAGAATTTTCGCAAAGTATTTGTATTTATACGCTTATTCCTCACAACAATTTTGGCTCAGCTGTATCTATCACGGTATATTGGTACCTCTACGGAATGCATTTGAAATAATTGTCCACAGTTGTATGGTTTCTGGTATATCTTTTTCCCTTTGTTTAAATTTCACATGTTTCTGCTATATTTTTTTCGTTTTTTAGCTTTCCGGAAGAATTCCAGCTTTCGATCGATGTTTTTCTCCCCTTGTGTAAGTTCTTCCTTTTATGCTATTACATTAGTTTCTTTGTATTCCCCTTCTCTGTTAGTTTCTGCTTACTCGGCTGTCATTTTATACGTAGGTCAACGTTCAAGCTTCGCTGAAAAGGCTGGATGCCACCGGACTGGAACGTTTGAACCCAGTACCAACTCTGACCGCCGGGACTATTGCTGGGGACCCCTTGCTCTCAGTTCGTATATTTGACTGCCTCAGCTTTTTACGACGTGATTTGCCCAGAAGACAGGATTTTTTGTCACATTCTAGCTATCTGGTACAGGTAAGAGCTCACTTTCGTCTTCTAGTTGTTATTGAATATAGGATAAGTGGAGGTAGCGAAGCGCCCGTCTCCCTCGCTGCTCGAATATTTAATTACTCAATAATGTGTCTGCTAACAAAATAACAGTAGCACGTTTTTATCACTCAGGTTGTCAATACCGAAGGCCTACCTCTGGTACCATTGCAGACAGCGAAATGCCTACCGGTCGTGTCCGCAACCGGTAATTTGCATCACGGCGCAAATCTTTCGGCCTGCGAAATAAATGTGCCCCTTGACCTCTCCCGCGCACCGCTCCTCGCGGCGCCCAAAGGTCGCATCACCCTACTCCTTTTTTCACTTTCTGGACGACCGCTTATCACCTCCGATGTCCAGCTGGAATCCGCTACTGTCGCAGTCCAACAAGATACCAGCCTCAGCAGTTGGCTTCTTGTCTTTTCGTACCTACCAATTGTCTTTTTTACCGGCATCATCATCTTGTTTCTGCCCTCTCAAAGCGACCACATGACCACATTCTCCAATTACCACTTCTGAGCCCAACCACCTGGACCGCTATTTATTCGGTGTAGAAGCATTCAAAGTATTCTCCGTTGACATCGCCTTTCCTGGGTGGTCTCCAATAATTCGCCACCACATTCATCGTCGGAAGTGGTCCTCTGATTGGCAGCCGCCGTATGGTTGACAGAATGCATTTATGCCTTGCCGTTTGTCAGCTATGCCCTCTCTTTTAGATGCTTTTGCATTTCCTGCATTTTCTCTCACTTTTTTAATCGAACTTGAAGTCTGCTTATACATATGGGTCAAGATCTGTGTAGCTCGGTCTTTGTAAAACAGTATTTTTGTGCAGGGAGCTTACACATTCAATTGCTAGGAAAGTCCGGACTTGCCGGTAACGGCAAATTAGGCACAAGGGGCACTTTCTGTCTTTCTTAATTACTCCTCGCACTGTAATTGCGTTTCAGAGGCCGTGAATCATTGCTTTGTGTTTCGTGAAATACAGGATTGGTTCGGGTACCGCCACTTCCGTGCTGGTGGAAGCAGCTCGATGCGCAGCCCTACCGGTTTCCGTTCCGTCTGCACTTTCGAGTTGTTCGATGTCAGAACCCGATCTTGCTTTTGCAAAAGTTGTTCCTGCGTTTCCCTCTTTTCGTTTTGCCTGAAACTCTTGACCGCGCCGTACCAAGCCTGGTTACTTGAATTGTTACTGTGTTACTCTGTACTGTACTATTTAAGAACCCACTGTGCAAAAAAATAAAACCTCTGCCTACTTGCTCACAAACTTTCATTTTTCTTTTGCTATGTCTGAATAAGTAATTCCAGCCACTCAGCCACTTTCTCTGTGCCTATTTTCTCTAGATTATGCTATTATTTCGTTGAACTCACCGCTGTTTAACGATGAGGAGGTCGTGTCGGTAGCTTCGATGAAAAAACCCCCATGTGTCTGACGTTCTAATTAAGATCGCCCTGCCTGAGACTCCATTGGTTCCTATCCTATTTCTGTCTACCTCAGAACTATGAGCAGTTTTTAATTAGAGGCAAGCGTATAATGGGATTGTTGGCGTTTCAGAACTGCCACTGTCAGGTCTGCCGTCGTCTTGCACTACCTGAAAACAAACAGAGTCCAGAGCTTGACGAAGCTAAACCGAGGGGTATGACCATTTCTGTCTAGCAACATCTCCCAAGGGTGACTCGCT